AATATACATTTTGCTCTGTATCATAATGCAATGTGATGGTATGGAGCTAAAAGTGGTAGAATGACTTAAATTTGTAGTAAAAATTTCTGCCTTTATCATGTTTTTGTTCTAAATAGAAAAACATTTAGCACAAAAACCTGATTTGAACTTTCCAAATGAGTAAGCCATGAGTTATTTTGTTATTGTGCTTTCACCAGTTTAGAGAACTCTTTCAACCAGCCGTACTACATTCTTCAAATTCCCTTTTCTCATCCTCTCCACCAAACGCCTCACGGGCTTCCGCTGCTTATAATATCAAACCACCTCGCTGTACATTAGCATCGCTGTTTAGTCCAAATGAATGCGTACGCTCAGTAAACACAATCCATAACGCTGACAATGGAATTTTCCCTGTGAGTAAAAGCGTATCATTAACACTGTGCTTAAATCCCTTATGGGGGTCTTATTGACTGAAGTCCCATTGAACTGACAGATGCGCTCTTCTTCCAGTCTGATGAACACTGGTCCTGCCTCGAGAATCACTCTGTCTCTTAAGTGTCTGTTACGATGGCTCCCCACAGACTTTACGCTGTATTAAGTGATAACCCTGACGCTAAAATAACATCCCATACACCGGCGCCCCATTTATTTAACACTGACACTAAAGTAGATTGGTGGCACGCAAGTGATTCGACGTGAACCTTTTCAAGCTTTCCCAAAGTGCGGTTGGGTTTTAATCAGATGTTACTCTTGCAAAAGTATGTGAGAGATTTTAAAGATGCATTGTGTAGGTTTTCTGGGGATATGCTTTTAGGGATGTCAGTCAAAATACTTCAGATTTAAAAGTGCTTAACCTTTACAGACTTTTGACCCGGACCAAGAAGTGTCTATACCAAATTTTGAACTTTTAGAAACGTCTAAATAAATTATCCCACTTGAATAAATATATGTAAAATATAAATATAATGTTTCAGAAAGCAGGAAGAGCATATTTTTTTAATTTTACAACACTCATAAGGATGACATTCTTGTTCTTTTGCATGTATGAGACAACTGTGGTGTCCTGAGTGAAATCAAACTTAGAAGAAAAGATGTGTCTCCCACTTGATTGACTTGTGTTCCTTTTGTGCTCCATAAACAGGATGATCACTCCTTTCACTGTTTTGAGATTCCACTTTTCCCTTTCAAAAACCAACAGGCGTCTAATTCTGGGAACCTGGGGCATGGGGGAATCTCAAAACAGTGAAGTCTCGAACTCTGTCATCACTGAGGTGTAACGATATCCAAGTGTCACGATACGATATCGTCACCGTATCAACCTCACAGTACGATATTTATTGTGATAAGGAAAAGCTCACGATTAGAGATGTAACAATATCCAAATCTATCAGTACGATATTTTCACGATATACATCTCACGGTACGATATTTATTGTGGTATTTTGTGGAGGCTAAACAGCTCAAACTGTGAATATGCTACTTTTTTCTCTTAAAATGCAATGACAAGACTTAATCCAAAGAACTAAGACTTAAAACTGTTTAGAACAGTTATTTCTTCTTGTAGTCTGCACTGAAATGGAGCAAAGGATCATGGTCTATGTAGTTCCCTATGTCTTTTTTTTAGCTGTTGCTGCACCATAACTCTTCATTTAAGCAAAGATGGTGGAGTTTGATGCCATGTTGTGGGACTTTCAAGGCAGAAACCAGAAAAGTTATGCAGTGCAACTTTAATGCAGTAATGTGATCAGTCAGTAGCGACAGGGCTGTGCATTTAATTTCTATTACAGTTATGGTTCTTGCTCTAATCTATGCAACATTTGAATAAAAGTGATTTTAGTTGTGATTTAGAGAAAAAAAAAAAGTAATTACTGTTTTTCACCACAATGAAGCTCCAAGTAGGCAAGAGCTACCAGATTAAAAATGATCCAGCTTTTGTGCACTGATAAAATAAAGTTATCATCACTAACCAGCAGAGTTTGGGACTTGCAAGTCATGACTTGGACTCGAGTCAGACTTGAGTCACTATTTTTAGGACTTGAAACTTGACTTGATAAAATGGACTAAGACTCGACTTGAAGGTCAGTGACTTGGGACTTGAGGCCTGTGACTTGAAGACCTGAGAAGCACTTTTAAATCTGAATTCTTTCTGTGTTTTGACTGTAATGATTCACTCTAAGATCTTGCCAAGACATTTAAAAAGGAAAAAAATTGCATTTGTACAACTCTTATGTACTCTATAAATACTCATATATAAATATACTATAATTTTTTAAGTACAATTTATCTTAAAAGCCATACAAACTGCAAAAATCTAAGCTGTATTTGGTTTAAAGACTTGAAATAATTTGAAGCTCAAAGCAGACAACTTGGACTTGACTTGGACTTATGGGCCAGTGACTCAAGACTCGACTTGGAACTTGACTGGGACTTGAGGTCAAAGACTTGAGACTTACTTGAGACTTGCAAAACGACTTGGTCCCACCTCTACTGACCATCTCGTCACAGTGTTCAAGGGTTTCAGTTTTATTGTTTAAGGTTCCATTTTGAGGACTTTTGAACATTATAAAGAATATTTAGTTTGAATTGCTAATTGACAAATCATCACTATAAAACTGGACTTAAACTCAATTCATTTCTTTTTTCTATATTTCTTTGTTTATATAGAAAATATGAGTCTAGGCAAACCTTACTATAAGCCAAAGAAAAACAAGTCGGTCTGTATTATATAAGACTATAAAAATTTTAATTGGATTGTGCTGTTCAACTAAAAAAAAAATAATTAAGTTCCCACACCATCAATGTTAAAAATATTTACAAACAAGTGAATAAGACTAGAATTTCTTTGTGTGAATCAATTGTGGAAATCATATATCAAAGTTAAACATGCTATCTTTGGTGTTTACTAGTGAATGCGAGATGAAGCCGCATGAAAGCACTGAAGCGCTCCATCCATTTGCTCGACTCTTGAGCCGATGCTTCAAGGTGCTTCATTTGCTCCACTGCGCCATCAAGTGGCCAAAAAATGTACATCAGGCAGAGTGAAAATTTATACTGAACAAATGAATGATTGAATATTTGAATGTTTGTGATATCAACATAAATTGTGAATTTATTAACATGGAGTCTGTTCATGATATAAAGGTCGGGTTAAAAGAAAAAGTAGACGCATCATCTGATATATATATTTTTTATATTTTTTACAAGAAATATATTAGACCAGGGGAAACAGTGCATTGTTAAATTTGTGTATTTAGTAATATTGTTTATTTAATGACGTCATTATTACTATGTACTTTATTTGGAGATATCAGCTCAAAATGTTCCCAAATCGGGGAAAATATTATTTTTCTTGCTGGCTCCATCGCAATAAATAAATAAATAAATAAATAAAATAGAATGTACCAAATTCACAATAACCCAACACCACAAAATGTTTTCGGGATATCCATTGCATTTCTTTGGCCCTTATGTTTCAAATCCATGGATCTATTAAAATAACTATAATATAATAATATAATAATATAATAATATATATATATATATATATATATGTATATATATATATATATATATAATGTGTTTTCTCATTCCATGGTAGGTCTCTCATATTGAGCTCGGTCCTCTACAGAGGCCTATTGATTCTGCGCAGTATCTTTGCTGTTCCCATACTGCACTTTTCTGGACTGAGATGTCCGTTGTTTTTCCCGGTATCTGTTGTAGCCACTCTTCCAGTTTGGGGTTACAGCCCCGAGTGCTCCGATCACCACAGGCACCACTGATGCCTTTACTTTCCAGGCTCTCTCCAGCTCTTCCTTGAGCCCTGGTATTTCTCTAGCTTCTCGTGTTCCTTTTTCCTGATATTACCATTGCTTGGTATTGCGATGTCAACCACCACGGCTCTGCTCTGTTCATATATATATATATATATATATATATATATATGTATATATGTATATATATATATATATATATACATACATATATATTAATATAATTTGAGCTGACACAATCCGAAAAAGGTTTATTTGTATAACTGTTGGTATTTCCTGGTCAGGTGCAGATGGGCGGAGTCAGTCTCCTCTCATTTCAGTCAGACATTCATTTCTGCAGAAGTCTAGCACACTGTCACATCTGAAGCTGAGTGGAGCCATGACCCCAGAGCTGTGAGTGAGGACCAGAACTTGTGATGTGACTGGACCTGCTGAAGGAGCCTCTGCCCCGTGGACACAGCTGCTGTAGTATAAAGCCCCCTGGGACCAACACGTGAGGTTCAGCTGCCTTCAGTGAGAGAGCTTTAACCACAGGCCTGCCCTGGTCAAGAGCAGTGTCAAGTGTCAGCCCATCTCGTGGAGAAGCTAAGGCAGACAAGGCCCACAGCTCCCCCTGCTGATGATTGTTAACACCACAGTCCTGGAGAAGTGAGTTGTGATGTGTGCTGGGAGGAAGCTCCTGTCTGCAGTGTCTGGTCTCTTACACCGGACATCCATCGTTTCATTCATCGTTTCTCAGCCCCAGCTCAAACTGTACGACCAAATCACAGGGTTTAAAAGTTCACAGCTCACAATTCATGTTCTCACACTATATGAACCACTTCAACAAAGCGAAACCCTCACGACAGGCGACTGGACTTCAAACAGGTTTGATATTCATGCGACCTACGATTGCCGATCGGGAGCTGGTCGTGCGATATTAATCGGTTCGTGTTACCCCACAAAGCACGACACATGATGAAGTGAAAACTCGGTTGCGGTCTCAAAAACAGTCGCACAAGTGAAAAATTGTCTCAGAAAGCTCCAAAAATCACAGTGTACGCCCGGCTTTACTCTGAGACTCATGTCCAGCCTCATCCTGATGTGGCACTACTACAGACACTCCAGATGGTGGCGCCGTCTGCTCTCAACACAGCAAAATGATGGAGATCTTCTGCTGCAGAGACCATCACCATTATCTGCTACCTCATTTGCTGGTGACATAGTGTGACTTTAACTGATATAGTGTTTTAAAATAAATAAGACAGGCAGTTGTGGCAGGAGAGTTTTATTAACAGTCATGCCCGTAAAGCTATTTTGAACTGGAATCTCTTTAGCTACTGGAAGCCACTGTAAATCTCAAATAACATTATCATCAACATGAAATAAAACTACAAAGAACGCACTATACTTCAAATATATACAAATATTACTTTCTCACACAATTGCAAAAATATACGAGTTGTCAATTCATGCAGAAAAACAGGAAATCACTATATTTCTCCATTGAGTCAAAAATATGGAACAATATAAGTCACTTAAAAGCAGCAATCTGGGCATCAATACAAAAATGCACAAAAATTACAACATCATCATTGAACTCTTTAAAATGCATCAACTTTCACAATTTCAGTTTCACGATAAAACGTCTTGAAAAATGCAGCGGTTTTACAAAAATCATGCACGTGTTTCAATGTTCGTGTGTGCAAAGTTGTACGTGATATGTCTGTAGGTTGTGGAAGTATTTACAAAACGCCGTGGTAATAGCTTCACAACGTGTCAAATAATATTAAAGACACACTATGTGACTTTTCTGGTGAAGGGCCAAAGAACCTGCATTCCTTCATGGAGACTGAGGTTAGGTTTACACTAAAACTAATCACTGTATTGGAAACAATTTGCGTCCAGACACGTCGTTTCTGTGTCCGCAAGTCTTTCCTATCCACACAGCTTTGCGAATATTTGTTTACCTTTTACAGAAACGAAACTTAAAACCACATGGCTCATTTGCATAAACTAAGCGCTCAAAAAAAAAACAGTTCGCTCCTTGAGCCCTGATGTGGTTCACCTTCTGTCGGACTTAAAAAGGACACGACTCAGTGAATTATGAGTGTTCTTTCTGTGACAGAGGGGTGTTCTGCTGATGGTGAGTCTGTTCTGTGTTTCTATCGCGTTGGAGATGGTTCATGTGAAACTTTTCAGAGATTATACTTCTGTAGGTCATACGCACAGACCTATAGAACTATACTTCGCCCTTTAACGAGAAATTGCCTAAAACACTAATAAGTTGCAGCAGCCGATTTCGAGCCAAAAAAGATGGCAAGTGTAAAAACAGTCTTTTCAAGGACCGTGTACTAGCAAATAGTTCTAGCTACACTGTTTCCCGTTTGTCTCTGGTTTGTTTAAACTGTTTTCCGCAATAGCGTCACATGACCGATGTCACGAACCCAGCAAATCAGGAAGGCACAAAACACAGTGACGTGGTCCAATAAAGACGCAAACTAGAGCTCCTATGTCAGAGTATCAGCGTTTTCAGGCGTCCACACAGTGCTGGATCAGATCTGTACTCAGATGAATTCGTGGGAGCTGCCGGCACCAGATCGTTCCATCTCTGGAGTCGTTTTCCATCAAATTAGTGTGAATGAACACTGCATACGCAACAAAAACGATTCGAATACAAACTAGTGTGGACGGGACTTTTAATGTTGTTACCTAATCAAAAATATACTTGACATATAGTTGTGTTTTGTTTCATTCACACATGTTTGAGTTGATCCTTTATTATTAGTCTGTCTACATCTCCAAACTCAAAATGCTCTGTTCCACGTTGTGATGTCACGAAGGGGCAGTTTTCACATTAACACAGAAACAGCTACCTTTTGGCTTTAGTTCAGTAGAGACAGGCAAGTCCACAGGTGAAATGATGCAAATGATTCTAGCAAAAGGTGTACGAACTTTAAAAACACGATAGAGTACTTCCTGTTTACCACATGACATCACAAGGTGGAACAGAGTGTTTCCTGTTTGAGAGAAGAACTCATCTTAAACATGCAGGGTTTGGGTGTTAAACATGTGTGAATGAAACAAAAACACAACTCCAGGTCTGTTTGTGATGAGGAAAGATTATAACATAGATCAGAAAATAGCATCTTATGGGCCCTTTAATTTATTTCTATCCATGGAGACAAGTCACAGGTCAGGTCTGTGGAAAGGCAAGCCCGCTCACAGTAAGAGTGCATGCTTTCCGAGGTACGTTAAAAGCAATAGGGGAAAAAAATGAATAGTGACAACATCTCCATGGAGACAAGCAGGTGGCACGCCCTTCACCAGAAAAGTGACATAATGCATCTTTAAGGAAGTTTTTTTTTATTTTTGGGGGGTTAAAGCTTAATAGAGGCTTAGGCAAGGCAGTGAGGTGACCCTGGATTTTGGGTTCGTGTTAGAAAATGATCAAAAAGATGTTGTAATTGATCAGGAATTGATCAGGTAGGGCAGGTCTAAGGCTACAGTTCCAACAAACGCGCCAGTCAAAAGTCGAAGTACTTTTAAAAACTGAGCTGACCAGAATTATATGGAAAGGATTTGATGATTCTCTAATTTTGACTTAATTTGGTGGGATAATACCTCTTGTAAATATAAATTATAGTTTTACACCAATCAGTAATGTATTTGCGAAAAAAAATTAAAAACATATGTTGAAAATTACAGAAAATCGAGAGTTCTGTTTTAGAGATGATATCTGTCCAAAAGTTTGGCACAATTTACATAAAATAAACAAAAATTTCCAATATTTTTAACATTATCTCAAAAAAATAAAGATGTTTTATTATATTTGTGTTTATCATATAATAATCTCTGTGTACATTAGAGGAGTTTTGGCTCTTTTTTTAGAGTATGTCATGATTTTCAACCAGAAAGTCAAATTTGAAATCTACAAAAATGGCCAAACTAGGAAAAAAAAGTAAAATGTTTTGTAAAATCTTAGTAAATTGAGTCCAGTTGTCATAGGCACTTTCTTTAACTATCAGATTGCAGATGTGTTGACCTGGTTTATGGTTAATATCTCTGTAATTTCTGGGCCTATCCACGTGAAACAAAAACTGCCACGAAGTTCAAAGTCTCAAATGAACTATGGTGATTTTTTTTTTTTTCCACATAAAGGCGAGATTCTTGTTAGTTGGAAGGACCCAATCTCGGTAAACAGTAACTCTCCCGTAGAGATGTACAGACCAGGTCCCTGCCTCCGTTTGAGTTCATGACATCATTAAATACTTTTAAAGCTACCTATTGGTCTTATAAAGTGTAATCTGTACAGCCAGTTCAACGAGGACTACAACAAGAACCAGGACTAAACCGGGTTTTTCAAGTTTAAACCAGGTCTGAACTAGTGAGCCTTACTGTACGGTCTTTATCAAGCAATGTAAATGGCTTTAAATGGGTCTAAACCAGGACTAAACCAGGTCTAAACCAGGACTAAACCAGGTATCTAAACCAGGACTAAACCACAACTAAATCAGGACTAAACCAGATCTAAAACAGGACTAAACCAGGTCTAAACCAGGTCTAAACCAGGACTAAACCAGGACTAAACCAGGTCTAAACCAGGACTAAACCAGGTCTAAACCAGGACTAAACCAGGTCTAAACCAGGTCTAAACAAGGACTAAACCAGGACTAAACCAGGTCTAAACTAGCATGCCTTACCGTACCATCTTATCAAGCAATGTAAATTGGGTCTAAACCAGGTCTAAACCAGGACTAAACCAGGTTTTAGCTAAACTGGGGTCTACATTTGACTACTGGATCAATCTCTTAAAGGTGCACTGTGTAACTTTTTCGGTGGAGCGTCCGTCACCTGCTTGTATCCATGGAGATGCGCTAAAATGTTCCACAGTATAACCATAAACTTAAGAATCTCCATGGACACTTGTAAACCAAATTACAGATTAGGTTTGCGGAAAGGTGACCCCACTCACAGTAAGAATGGATGTTTTTTGTTTTTTTTTTTAGATATTTTCACCAATATTTTTGAATAAACGCAAGACATATAGTTTAAAGCCACACTGCGGACAATTTAAACCAAAGCATTAACATCTCCATGGTTACGGACCTGCTCCAGAAATGTTACACAGTGCACCTTTAAACCAAAACTGCAAATACTGTCTGTAGTTTATGAGTACCAGCAGAAAATGCCCTTTTACCGCCTTGTTACAAAATCAGATCTTACGTTGTCGTTTTTAAGATCTAAATAAAATTCTGCTTTCTAGATGTAACTTACTGTAGCGTTAAAAGTTTAATCTTGAAAACGTGTCACCTCCTAGCTTCAAAAATGAAAATGATGCTTCTGTTTTTGCTTCTTATTCAAAATAAAATATCCTAAAAGCGTAAGATGGTTGCAGCTTCCAATAAGGCTTTGTCCACTTTTAGGCAGTATTCAAAAATAGTATCTTGATTTGAAGTTAGAAGATTGGAAGATCTAGAAGAGCTTTAAAGTAAAACAAAAAAAAAATTGTAAAAAAAATACCAAATTAAAAGCACTGTACCTGATTTTTACCATCTGAAAAAAAAAATAATAATAACAACACAGAACTGGTTCATTTTAAGCAGTTTGCAGTGGCCCGAAGTTATTTCTCAGTTTCCTTTAACATTCAGAGCATCGTAATTATTCACTGTGATGAGTTTATAAGTGCTTTTCACAACAACTAGCATGCAAACTGCACACTTCCTGACAATAAAACAATTTATAATTAGATGCAGACAGATCACAGTGGACTTATTTTGACCGCAAGAGCTGCTGATACAATATATCTGTACTGGGGCAAGGCAGGTTTTGCTCAAATACATGGAAAAAAAAAATCAGGTACATGCTCTTTAAAGGTGCATTGTGTAACTTTTGTGGTGGAGGGTCCATCAAATGCTTCACGGAGACCAAACCAGACAAGTTACAGGTCAGATCTGTGGAAAGGCAACTCTGCTCACAGTCAGAATACCTGTTTTTCTAAGTATTTTTGAGCTGTAAAACCACCTGTAATTTAATAAATGTAAAGCAGATCTGTTTAATGTCACACTGTTGAACATTTCAGGCAGAGCAATGACCATATCCATAGAAACAAGCAGGCGACGGACCCTCCAGCAGAAAAGTTGCGCAGTGCACCTTTAACATCTGAAGACCATTTGAAATAATATTTTTCAAAGTGCTTTAGGTCCAGTCGGTCTTAAAAAAACGCTTTAAAAATCATAGTCCCAGCCTGAGTTATCGTCTGGAGGTGGGTCATCAGTGTCTTCTGGAAAACTGTCAAAGTTACTTGTGTCGGTTGGAGACGAAACCTGCAAAAATGTGAAATTATTTTTAGCACATGAGGAAAATAAATAATAGACATTGCACCCCACACCATTCATTTAAATACACTGTTTGATTTGATATTAAAGCTCCTATATTATGCAAAATTGACTCTTACGAGCTTTAAGTCATGTTATAATGTTGTTACTCAATCAAAAACAAACCTGGAGTTGTGTTTTGTTTCATTCACACATGTTTGAGTAATACTTTATTATCAGTCTGTCTACATCTCCAAAGCTTAAAACGTTCTGTCCCACCTTGTGATGTCATGAAGCGGTAATTTTCCAGTTAACAGCTACTTTTTTACCTTTACTTCAGTAGAGATCGGCAATTCCAGAGCTGAAATCATCCAAATAATTCTAGTGAAGGTGTATAGAGTTTAAAAACACAATGGAGCACTTCCTGTATTACCACATGACATCACAAGGTGGAACAGAGTTTGAGAAAAGAACTAAATAGAACTAATAAATATGCAGAGTTTGTGTGAATGAAACAAAACACAACTACAGGTTTGTTTGTGATAAGGAAAAAATTATAACATAGATGAGAAAACAGCGTAATATGGGACCTTTAAAGAAATAAATAAATTAAATGTCTACAAAAAAGTTACATTTACATTTAAAAATAAATTATATGATCTATGATATGGTATGATATTCTAATATTTTATCAGTTTTATTTTTGGATATTTTTAGGAATTATTTTTGTTCCTTATTACAAGATAGTTTATTACAAAGAAGCTTTTTTTCTTTGCTTTTTAAAAAAATTTAAACTACAAATATTATTGTGCTTGTACTTTCCAGTAGAGGGCACTGTTGAGTCAGATATCTAAAGTTGTCTGGACTCACATTTGGTTGAATGGGAGGAGTTAGCGTTTGCTTCTTGAGGCCTTCCCAGTTAAAACCTTCAAACCACCTTCAAACCACAAAAAATATATAAAAAATTAACAATACAATATAAATAAAAATAAAAATCATTTGTATAATATTGCAATGTGGTTCTGGGCTCTTTCTTACTTGTGCTTTTGGATGTCTTTAACACCGTTTTTCAGGTTCCCAAGTCTTTCTATTGGATTGTCTCTGTGAAAAAAACATTGTAATTGTAATTTTTTTCGTGAATATTTTTTAGTTCATTTTCTACCATTGTGAGTTTTAGCGCCCCCTACCTGCAGAGCTTTTTGATGAGGTTGCCTGCGTTCTTGGTGACCTTCTTTGGAAACTCAATCATGTCAATGCCTCTCAGAATCACATTATAGGTTTTCATTGGGTCTGGGCCTGTGAACGGAGGACTGCAGACACAAAACGGGTCAGAAAATGAGATATGAATTAATAAAAATACATTAATATGAAAAATTTGAAGCTGTATTTGCCAGAATTATACTGTAAAAATCTGATAACTGTACTGAATATTCATTGTTCTTCAAAAATGCCAATCTCCAAATTCTCTCTCTGCTTTAAATAAACTTTTTTATTTTGTAATTTTGTATAGTAACTTATTTCTTAAAGTTGCATTGTGTAACTGTTCTGGTGGAAGATCGCGCCACCTGCTTTTACTCCATGGAGATGTTATTGCTTTGTCTGCAATGGCAAAATCAGAAATTCAATTTTGCCATGGATTCTACCTGGACGATGGATATGGATAGGATTTGATGATTCTCTAATTCTGACTTAATTTAGTGGGATAATACCTGTTGTAAATATAAATTATAGTTTTACACCAATCAGTAATGAAAAATCTAAAAATATGTTGCAAATTACAGAAAATCGAGAGTTCTGTTTTAGAGATGATATCTGTCCAAAAGTTTGGCACAATTTACATAAAATAAACAAAATTTTCCAATATTTTTAACATTATCTCAACAAAATAAAGATGTTTTATTATATTTTATATTTGTGTTTATCATATAATAAATCTCTGTGTACATTAGAGGAGTTTCGGCTCTGTGTACATTTTTTTTAGAGTGTGTCATGATTTTCAACCAGAAAGTCAAATTTGAAACCTAAAAAAAATGGCCAAACTGGGGAAAAAAAAGTAAAATGTTTTGTAAAATCTTAGTAAATTGAGTCCAGTTGTCATAGGCACTTTCTTTAACTATCAGATTGCAGATGTGTTGACCTGGTTTATGGTTAATATTTCTGTCATTTCTGGGCCTATCCACGTGAAACTAAAATTGCCACGAAGTTCAAAGTCTCAAATGAACTATGGTGATTTTATTTTTTATTTTTTTTCCACATAAAGGCGAGATTCTTGTTAGCTGGAAGGACCCGATCTCGGTAAACAGTAACTCTCCCGTCGAGATGTACAGACCAGGTCCCTGCCTCCGTTTGAGTTCATGACATCATTAAATACTTTTAAAGCTACCTATTGGTTCTCTAATGTATAATCTGTACCTAATCTACCTGGACGACGGGGGGATTGTACACAAATTTGGTCTGCAATGTTTCACAGTATGGCATTAAAACTTTCTATCATCATGGAGACCAAATCAGACCAAGTTACAGGTCAGATTTGGGGAGAGGCAAAATGTCAATTTTTCTAGGAATTTTTGAGCCATAAAACCACCTGTAATTGAATAAATGTAAAGTAAAGCTGTTTAATGTCATACTGTGGAACATTCCAGGCAGAGCAATGACGTATCCATAGAAACCAGGAGGTGACAGACCCCCAACCAGAAGTTACACAAAAGCAAAAAATACCAAATTAAAGCTGTCGTGCATGATTTTTACTGTCTTAAAAATATGAAAAACAAAACTTGAATGAAATTTCATACTTTTTTTTGGGATCACTCACTTTTATATTTACGTTTAATATTTTACTGCACAGTTAAACTAATGTCACCTTTTATATTTTTTTACAATGTTTTAATAATCATTTTTTCAACAGTACGTGTGGGTGTTTAGTGTTTACCTCCCGGTCAGCAGCTCGTACATGAGGATGCCCAGGGACCAGTAATCTGCAGACACGTCATGGCCTTTGTTTAAGATGATTTCTGGAGCCACGTACTCTGGTGTACCACAGAAAGTCCACGTCTTTTTACAGTAGCCAATCTTCTTCGCAAACCCAAAGTCCACCTTCAGAAAAAGAAAAACAAATACTAATTGTCTTCATACATTTTAGAGAGACATTTATTTTGTAATTTGTATCTATTTATTTATTTTATTTAACTTATAGTAGATGAGTTAAAGGACTCATATTACACTATTTTCTGATCTATGTTGTAATGTTTCCTCATCACAAACAGACCTTGAGTTGTGTTTGTTTCATTCACACATGTTTAGATTTATGAGTTCTTCTCTCAAACAGGACACACTCTGTTCCACCTTGTGATGTCATGGAAGAGCTCTACTGTGTTTTTAAACTCCATACACCTTCACTAGAGTCATTTGGACAATTTCAGCTCCGGAATTGTAAATCTCTGCTGAACATAAGGCAAAAGCAGGAACTTGCAAGTCATAAGTATTTTTAGGACTTGAGACTTGATAAAACTGACTAAGACTTGGGACTCGACTTGGACTTGAAGGTCAGTGACTTGGGACTTGACTCTGACTTGAGGCCTGTGACCTGAGAAAACTTGAGAAACACTTTTAAATCTAAATTCTGAATATTCTGACCGAAAAGATTCACACTAAGATCTTGTCAAGACATTTAAAAAGGAAAAATGAACTAAATTAATTTCTACAACTCTTATATACTCTATAAATACTCATATAAAACTATACCATGACTTTTTAAGTACAAGTTAGTTTAAAAATCAGATAAATTGCAAAAATCTAATTGGTACTTTGGTTTCAAGACTTGAAAAGACTTGAAGCTCAAAGTAGACGACTTGGACTTGACTTGGACTTATGGGCCAGTGACTCGAAACTCGACTTGGACTTGTCTGTATTTGACTTGGGACTTGACTCGGACTTGAGGTCAAAGACTTGAGATTTACTTGAGACTTTCAAAACAACAACACAAGGTAAAAGGAGCTGTTAACTTGAAAACTACAGCTTCATGACATCACAAGGTGGAACAGAGCATTTTGAACTTTTGAGATGTAAACAAATTAATAAACCAGGATTACTCAAACATGTGTGACTGAAACAAAGCACAACTCCAGGTCTGTTTTTGAGGAGGCAGCAGCATTATAACATTGCTTAAAGTTCACAGGAAATTTAGGATTTATTTGTTTTTGTTTGAAGGTTTTAGTCACTCCTGCCCTGTGAAGCAGTTTGGTCTTTGGTTTGGCATATGATAATTTATTTGGTTAAGGGCAATAACTAAAATATTTTTTTAAGAGCATCTATAACTAAATTATAACAACAGATAATCCAATAAGAGACTCTGCTCTTCAATACAGGGACCAGTCTCAAATACAAAGTTGAAAAAAACTGAGGCAAGAAAGTACAAAATAATTAAAAGCATTTATACTTTTTTTCAACTTTGTACAATAAGAGACACACTTTAGCTTTTGAAAACATCTTATTTTTATTGAACCTTTATTTAATCAGGAAGTCCATTGAGTTTCAGAATCTCTTTTTCAAAAGAGACCTGGTCAAGGCAGCAGCAACACAATCAATACAAAACAGTAAAATCACAAAATATCACATTATAAAACCATTTGAATCTCTCAAGAAAAACATACACAAATATGTCTCGTTCACACTTTTTACAATTTTCTTGAACTTAACAAGTGACACCATCGATTCCCATTTAAGATCTTTCTGTAAATGATTCCAACGTCATAGAACTGTAGGAAAAGTCAGATTTTCCCAGCTCAGTGAGGCACAATGAAGAGTAACTGAGAAAGAGTAAAGCCAGTAACTACCTGGGCTCATAATAAGGAGTAAGGGGTCAGAAAATCTCATGCATCATGATTTTTTTAAAATTTGAAAAAATTACCAGCTGGTCCCTTACTATCATGTACCAACCCTGTGAAATTTTAGTCATTTTAGATCTTTACTTTTCAAGTTACAGCTCATTTAGTGAGGGGAGTATGTGTCCATTTACGGGCCCAAAATGTGCATTTTTTTTTCTCTGTCATTTTCACAGGTCAATATCTCCGTAAGTATCACACACAAAGGGCTGAAATTTTGTAGGCTTGTACTCCTCTGCTCTGTGTTCAAATAACATCTATCGAAAGTTTGGTATCTCAACTCATTGTCATTTTATATAAACTTAACCCATAAGAACCCACGGTGACACCAGTGTAACAAACACTTTGAATGCCCCAGTCTCTTCCTCATAATGAGTTAAGGTAAGAAATAAAGCTTTAAGTCCCTAAGCTACGTATACTAAACATCCTGGTATGATGACCATGTGACAGTCATGTGACACTAACAGGAAGTGGGCTCTCCAAAATGCTGGTTTAGTCTGGATGCAAATTTCAAGGATGCAGCTCATTTCAAAAAGCTGTTTTTTGATACTACAGGTAATTTCAAACACATTCAACAGTTCCCATGCTTTGATAACATGTCCTATATTGCGTTCAACCTGGTCTGACCATATTTATTGAAGAAAGTAATATCAAACCAGGTAGGGAAATATTGCTGTAACATATATGTCACATCGGGCTTTTAGCCTTAAAATAAGAATGAAAAATTGATGTGACCTATTTGTCACAATAACAAAAACGGTAATAATCCACCCAATTAATTTAGCTGTATCAGTTATATTAAGTTTAAATATGTACTGCTGATCAATTAAAAGTGTACTGAACAAACAGAAGCACAAAATTATCTATACTATACTATAATAATATAATATAAGTAAATATAAATATAATAAGTATTTGGTTTGGATTACAAAAACTTTTTTTGCAAATCTGTACATAGTGCTCACAAATTTTTACCATCCCATGAATAATAAATATTCTTTTATTTCTATTTAATTTGTAGTATGCAAAAAGAACAAGTGCAACATTCTTCAGGATGCACTAGAGGCCATCGTGGGAGATGATAGTGAGTTTGAGCTCAGATGAAGACCCTGATAACACTCTTTATAAGCCCAATAGCCAAGACAGGGAGAGTGACGAGTCAAGTGAGTGTGGTGATTCAGACAGTAGTGAATCAAGTACATCAGATGATGTACCACAACCAAACGTGAATTCAGGGCACCAAAATACATACATTGGTGTCTTACTCCTTCACAGTGTGTTAGGAGGCCACACATTGTGAAGGACTACAACACGCTCATGTGAGGAGTACACATCCTTGATGCATACATTGCAAGGTGAAAGTACCACATGAGTTCACAAAGGTGGTACATCTACTTGTTCTGGCACACCATCATGTTAGGTCTGGTTAATGCATGGTTGACTGACTGAGTGACTATAAACTACTTGGTGTCCAAAACACACTGAAACAAAAGAGCTTCCAGGTTGTTGTTGCAGATGTTGCCACTAGCCTCATTCTTTGGCAGGCATAAAGAGGCTGCCCATCACTCAGTACCACATCTCCACCACCACCACAGCCCAAGAGGGTTTGTGGTGGACTTCCAGATAATGTTCGTACTGACCAAGTTGCACACTGGCCTGTGAAATGTGACAGGCATGGTCGCTGCAAACTCTGCAAAATCAATGCAACCACCACTTTTAGTGAGAAAGGTCATCACCTTTGCTTCACTGAGGAAAAAAAGCAGGTCTTAGCATCTGGCTTAGACTAAAAGGCTAGAGATACTTAACAGACAAAAGAACTGAGAAAATGTTTTACACATGGTACTGATGATACAAGGATTCTATTTCTCTTTGGCTTTTTTTTTTTTTTTTTGCACAGTTTCTGTTTTTAGATCTGTTGTTCAGTTCTCTGTACCTATGGTAGCTTGTTGTTAATGCCCCCAAATAGGCAGTGTTATTTATTTTGATGCAGTTGGCATATTTTGTGACACAAAGCAAAACTGAAGACGAATTGTATGTTAAACCTTGCTATTAAAGTCACAGCTTTGATATATGTTGTGGAAATGCAAATAAAAAGGTAATTTTCTGTTACCAAGCAGTAATAACTGTCAGGTTTACTTATTTTGAAATAAGGAATAAGTTTACCACTAACGCCCAATGTGACATATATGTAACAAACCAGATCTCTGGTATGAAAAAGTGTTATCCTGAAAAAAACTTCAGAAATGTGTTCTATGTGGTCCATTTGGTCTGTGGTATATCACACATAATTTTCCTTTAAGGAAAAATGGGTCTGGGTTCTTATGGGTTAAAAATGAAAAAAAAAAAAAACTCATTCATTTCCATGGCATACCATTTTTAGCCCCTTTTTAAACCTACTTGTAGGTGGAGGAGACACTTACATTTTTTGAGAATCAAGATATGTACTAGAACTGTAAAAAAAAAAATCACCAAATGTTGAAAATTTGAAACAGGTTATGTGTGAGGGTTAAGACAAACAAGAAAATGTAACATGGTCTGATATTCACATGTAATTTATGGCATGTAGGTAGTGATTAAATTTTTTTGAAAGACCAAAAAAAGACCTTTTAAATGGTACCAAACATATGTATTTAATGAGGCTCCTTCAGTTTTTAATTGTATCTTGAACATTCGCATTTGACACAATGACACAAGTATACAGTGACCAGTTGTTTTGTTTTTGTTTGTTTTTCATGTTTAAGTTCATATAAAATGACAATGAGTTGAGATACCAAACTTTTGATAGATGTTATTTGAACACAGAGTAGAGGAGTACAAGCCTACAAAATTTCAGCCCTCTAAGTGTGATACTTACGGAGATATCGACCTGTGAAAACGGCAGAGAAAAAATGACTAAAATTTCACAGGGTTAGTACATGATAGTAAGGGACTATTTCGTAATTTTTTTCAAAATTTTTGGAGGTCAAAGTGCGTGGGCCATTTGTAAATAAATATTAAACAATGCTGTTTTTTGCGAATCGTTATTGATGTCCAGTCACCTAAACCATAGAGACTTTGCACTGGTGAAATGCATGTACCAGTTTGGCATATCCTCTTCTGTCCAGGAGAAGGTTTTCGGGCTTCAGGTCTCTGTAGATGATTCCTTTTGCGTGGAGATAAGCAAAGGCCTCGACTACGCAACCAGTGTAAAACCTGGTGGTGGTATCATCAAATGAACCTCTGAAAGAAAAACACAGAGAGACTATTCACTCAATGGAAAACAAATATCACCAGAACTAAACCAAGTGTATAACAGGACTATCCCAGGTCTAATCTAAGGCTAAACCAGGTCTGAAAATGGACAAAAAGGACTCTAAATTATCCAAACCCACAAACTGAAGAGCTGTCCAAATCCCACTTTATGTACTATCAAAAGAAAAACCTGGTAGCCTATATAAAACTAAATATAAACAAAATATACTAAAAATTGTGTTAAACTAACTAGAATGAAAATCAGAATTAATTTATTAGAAAAAAAAAACGAAGAAAAAATGACAAATGAGAAATCCGGTGTAAGACGTGTGTTCAGATAAAGTCAAAACTAAAATATGTACAATAAATATGTAGCCAAAATCTGATTAAGTTACCTGTCTCTGAGGATGGTCCAAAGCTCTCCACCCAGACACGCCTCCATCAACATGTACAGATATTTACTGTCTTTGAAAGTCCGATATAACCTGAACGCAACACAAAAGCACCACTCTAAATTAGAGAAGATGTAAATAAAGTCACATGTTTAACACAGTTCAATACAAAACATAAACTAAAGGTGCACTTTTCTGGTGGAGGGTCCTTCAGATGCTTTTCTCCATGGAGATGTTATTGTTTTCTATGGAATGTTTCACAATATGGTATTAAACCTTTTTATCATCATGGAGACCAAAACCAAAGTTAGAGGTCAGATCTGTGGAGATGCATCCCCGTTCACAGTCAAAATACCTGTTTTTCTAAGCATTTTTGAGCTATAATTGCATAAATGTAAGGTAGAGCTGTTTTAATGTCATACTGCGGAACATTCCAGGCAATGACATATCCACAGAAACAAGCAGGTGACAGAACTCCTACCAAAAAGTTACATAGTGCACCTTTATGGCAGCCTGATTCATGAGTCGGTTTCACTTCGTAAAAACCGTCTGACGTTTTAGCATTAGGATTCGTTCGCTTGATGATAGGCAGGTACTTTTTTTTATTTAACCAATCGCTGCTATTAGGTCGTGACGTATGTAATGCGCTGCTAACGGGGCTATTAAGCTTTTCCCAAATCCCGTAGGAAGAAGGACAATAACGTCTTTCCCCTTGATAAAATTCACAAAACAGTCTCTTTGTTCCGGCTTTAAATCCTCAATCTCAGGAATCGTTGCCATCACAGAATGTATGACTCTTCACTGATTGGCTGGTGCCCAGACTCGCACTTCTGGGGTTCTTGCAAACCGTCTAGTGTATTCCGATTCCTGACCTAGTCCTTGTAGAGAAACTAAATTGAGGGGAGGCACTAGGTGGCACCAGCCTGACGAACATGAATCATGATTAAATTTACAAAACTGTAATATGAACTTTTTGGCATATTGTTCTTCTGAAAACTTCTGTGATTTCTCACCTGACAACGAAGTCACAGTGGGCATCGGCCATAATCTGTTTCTCCGCTCGGATGTGCTCCTGCTGTCTCGTGTCGACGATGTGGCGTTTCTTCAGGATTTTCATGGCGAAGGTTTTGGCCTCTTCGTTTTTGAGCTGCACCTGAAAACAGACCAAAATTTACTGTTTAGTGACTACAATGACTATGGAGTTTGAATGATAAAGCTGCATTGCACAACTTTTCTGTTAAAGTGTCTGTCACTTGCTTGTCTCTGTGGAGATGTAATTGCTTTACATGGAATGTTCCATAGTATAGCATTACACTTTTCTATTTACATTGTTATTCCTCTAAAATACTTTCAAAAAACATATTCTGGCTCAGATTTGACTTGTAACTTGACCTGGTGGCGTTAACTGCTCGTTTCCATGGTGATAACTAAGTTTAACGCTACACTGTGGAACATACAAGCTGTGATTTTATATTTTATTATCCTTCTATTTAATTTTTACTTGTACATTTATATAATTACGTCTTATTTGACACTTGTCTCTTGCTACTTATTTAGAATTAATTATTACCATTTACATTTGCTCTTTGTTATTATATTTATTATGATGTGTGAGCTACTGTGTCCTAATAATTTCCCTTGTGGGTCTATAAAGTCTAAGTTTAAGTCTAAGTCTACGTCTACACCAAAGCAATAACATGTCCACAGAGCGACCTGATGACAGACAATCCACTTGAGATGTTACATAGTGTACCTTTAAAGGAATGGTAAATATTGGCTACGGTAAAGTTCGCTGATGCTCGCTGTGCTAACTGTTATGTTAGTCCTTTGGCCATGTGTTCGGAATAGCATGTACGTTCCCAAACACAGGTGTTGATCGGGGGCAGTAAAAGTCATCAGATAAACGCTTTCTAAAGGCCTCGTAAATAACACATCTGATCTAAACGTGCTGTAAACACTTTATTTATAGACACTTCACAACTTGAGACGCTGACACTGGACTCTTGTGTACGTTTTTGGGGCGTGTGAGGGGGAGGAGCAGTAAGAGGAACAGCAGGGGGATTCTATAATACTTTCTTTTATATTATCTTGTGGCTTTATTATTTGTGTAGTCCTTCAGTAGTCCAGGTAGGTTCCACAGTGGTCCATGGGCGTATACTAGTCTATGTGCTCTTACACAGCTCAAGATCATTCTAATGCTCTTCAGGAAAGGTTAAATTCTGTCCTATTAATGTGACTTTTTTAGCACTTCAAAAAAAAAATCCCTCAGTCGTCCAGGTAGAATACTTGCCAGCCTGGTGCCACCTAGTGCCTCCACTCAATTGAATTTCTCTCCAGTGGCAAGATCAGGAATCGGAATACACTAAAACCCCGGAAGTGCGAGTTCGGGCACCAGCCAATCAGCGAAGAGACATATATTCTGTGTTGTCAACGATTCCCAAGGTCAAGGATTTAAAGCCAGAACAAAGAGAATGTTTTGTGAATTTAATCAAGGGTAAAGACGTTATTGCCCTTCTTCTTAATATACCAGTTTGCCCCAGTTTGGCGTGTTACATGCGTCACGACCAAATAGCAGCGATTGGTTAAATAAAAAAAGCACAAACGAACAAGCGAATAAATTCTAATGTTGCGAGGTCAGACGGTTTCCATGAAGTGAAACCGGCTGATGAATCAGGCTAGTAGAATCCATGGAAAAGGAGAAATTGAATTTGACCCCAAGACCCCACACTCAGTAGACATGAATAGGCCGAGCTAACTAACAGAAACTGTAAACAAGTAGGTGTGTTAGTTTCAGAGTAATTTCATTGTAGTTAACTCCTTCCTGCAGGCAGATATAAAGAAGTATTCACCAGCATTCTGATCAGAACTGAAGAAGCAGCTAGGATGAATTGCGAAACATATTCGACCAAATAAACTTTTGTCCAGTTGACAAATTTAATTTCTCCTTTGCTTTTTTAGCACTGATATTTGTTAAGATGGGTATGAAGTTCTGATAGTAGTTTTAGTATTGGTTAGTATCTGATTTTCAAGACTTCTGACAACCCTAATCTCACGAATTGCAGAGCATATCGTTTATTTTATGTGTTTTCGTGACATTTATGAGTTCATAATCTCATGAGGATCCATTTTGGAGGCACTCGGTGTACAGTCAATTAGGAGGACGGAAGTTACAGAGCAACACTGAAGTTTGTGCAGAAACCAAAGACGAAGCGCCCAAACAAACCAAACAAAAAACTAAACAAACATGATAACGCCAACATAAGTACTTATTTTGTCAAGAAACAGACTATGTTGTTTATGAAAAAGGTGAAGAAGGTAAAAGCTTTGTACATTTGTGGACAGGGAGGATGACTTTGCTTTTCTCTCAACTGGATGAAACAAAAGTTAGATTTTTTTGTCTTGTTCCAATGTTGTGACATTTCGACCAATCAGATTCAAGTAGTCTTCATGATAATCTGCCTTTTTCAATGTCTTTCTGTGAGAGTCATCCCAGATTGATAATGTGCAGACCTCAGTTCAGAGTGACACACATTTCAGTCTGAGTCAGGCTGGTTTATATAATAGTTTTAAAATACTAGTGATTTAAAGTCCTTGAGCGGCCTACTGGAGCAAAAGTATCCTGTTCCCTTTGCACACTGCTGGTTATGTAGGAGCATGTCTGTGAGGTCGGAGGTCGGATCTTTCCTTAGAGGTGAAGTTGTTCTATGAGTCACTGGTTATAAATAACCCCAAGGCATGATGGGAGATCCTGAGCGGGGATTCCTTCCTGTTTTTGGGCAAACCCTTCGAGGGCTTCTCTGTTGGCCTTTAGTGAACCACCCAGTCCCTCCTCTGCAGCACGGACACCTGAGCTCTCACCAAGCCGCAATGCACCAAGAATCTGCTGTTGTTGTGCCCTTGAGCAAGACAATATTGTAGCTTCAGAAGGGGCACAGAAAACATGCCAGTTGAAGAATAAAACTGGGTTTGATTTGCAGCGTTGGGAGTAACGCGTTATAAAAGTAACGAATTACTGTAATGCGTTGATTTTTGCTGTAATGCAGTAATGTTCGGCATTACAGAGAAAAAAAAACAACTAATATTTTAGTTGGTATAAATGTCAGTGACAAGCGCTATAATGCTTTTTTAACCTGGATTGAAGTGGTGGGTTTTTTTGCTCGGGGTTCTCTCAGGGGCAATCCTAGATTCCAAGTTCTAGTCCAAGATTAGTTCTGGTTTGGTCCTGGTTCAGACCTGGTTTAGACCTGGTTTAAATCTGGCTTAGATCTGGTTTAGACCTGGTTTAGACCTGGTTTAGATCTGGCTAGGTCTGGTTTAGACCTGGTTTAGTCCTGGTTTAGTCTTGGTTTAGACCTGGCTTAGTTCTGGTTCAGTTCTGGTTTAGACCTGGTTCAGCTCTGGTTTAGTCCTGGTTTAGTTCTGGTTCAGTCCTGGTTCAGTCCTCCAGGTTCAGTCCTCCTGGTTTAGTCCTGGTTTAGACCTGGTTTAGACCTGGTTTAGTCCTGGTTTAGTGCTGGTTTAGTGCTGGTTTAGTCCATATACGGCGCAACAGTTCAGCATCTTCACAGTTATTTCGTTGAGAGCAACTTAAAGTGCTGCAATAGTCGTGTAATATTTTACATTTAAACACAGTAATATTGTAATGTAACAACTTACTTTGAAATTACAGTAACAAGTCATAAATGACACATTACAGTTTTAAAGTAACTTGTCCAACAGTTTTGATTTGGCAACACCCAGGAAGATTTGCTAAAAAATACTTGTATGCCCATCAAAATGAAAGGTCCTATATTACACAAAATTGATTCTTGTGAGCTTCAAGAATGCTGGAGTTGTGTTCTAGTGAAACAAAACACAAATCTAGGTATGTTTTTGATGAGGAAACAAAATCAGAAAATTGCGTAATGAAAAGTAGCTGCATGCTCATCAGAATTAAGGTTACCAACTACTTGTAATGATCTCTATGTAAAATTAGAAGAGGGATTTGGGCATTAGTCCAGTTGGCCCAGGAATGTCTCTATGGAAAAGCATGTCCTGGTCACTGAAGGTCCCTCTAGACCAGGGTCACAGGATCAGAGCGGGTATAAAGTTCCAGAACTGATACTTCACTGGAAACGTTACTCCAAATAGACTCGAGACACGCACACCACAGCACAGGACGTCCAACTCAGTACATTTAGATATAGAAATGGGGTTATAAGATCAAGTCGACATGATTTTATTACCTCTGTCGTAATGTGTACTGAGAAAGTAGGCTACTGGAGGTTATTACTGCTACTACTACTACTACTACAACTACTACAACTGCTGCTGCTACTGCCTCTACTACTACTACTACAATTCCCGTTGCTGCTACTTCTACTGCTACTACTACTGCTGCTACTGCTGCTACTACTACTACTTCTATTTCTATTACTACTTCTACTTCTACTACTACTGCTACTGCTACTACTACTACTACTACTGCAACTACAACTGCTGCTGTTACTACTACTAATATTCTTCGAGGTCGACTCCTGTTTTAAATTATATAATAAGATTACTTAATGTTATTAATAATTTAAAACAGGAGCCGACTAGTACATGATTTTATTAACAGTGTCGTAATATGTTCTCAGAAAGTATGCTACTGGAGGTTACTACTACTGCTACTGCAACTACTACTGCTGTTGCTACTACAACTACTACTACAACTGCTATTACTTCTACTACTATTACTACTAACACTACTAATACTAATGTATACGTGCATGATTTTATTACCAGAATTGTAATATGTACTCAGGAAGAAGGCTACTGGAGGTTACTACAATTACTACTACAACTGCTGCTGTTACTACTACTACTACTACTACCTCTTCAAGGCCAACTACTGTTTTAAGTAGGACTACAAGATAAAATGCACATCATTTTATTACCATGAGTAATATGTACTCAGAAAGAAGGCCACTGGAGGTTACCAGAGGTGGGACCAAGTCGTTATTTAGCAAGTCTCAAGTTTCAAGTCTTTGACCTCAAGTCCAAGTCAAGTCAAAGACAGGCAAGTCCAAGTTGAGTCTCGAGTCACTGGCCCATAAGTCCAAGCCAAGTCCAAGTCGTCTGCTTTGAGCTTCAAGTCATTTCAAGTCTTTAAACCAAAGCACCAAATATAGCACAGATTTTTGCAATTAATATGAATCTTAAGCTAAACTGAACTTTAAAAAGTCATGGCATATTTTATTTATATATGAGTATTTATAGATAGATAGATTTATAGACTTGTAGAAAGGCAAATTTTTCCTTTTTAAATCTCTTGACAATGTCTTAATGCAAATCATTACAGTCAGAATAGAAAGTCTTCTCAAGTCACAGGGCTCAAGTCCAAGTCAAGTCCCAAGTCACTGACCTTCAAGTCCAAGTCAAGTTGCAAGTCTTAGTCTATTTGATCAAGTCTCAAGTCCTAAAAATAGTGACTCAAGACTGACTTGAGTCCAAGTCACGACTTGCAAGTCTCCACCTCTGGTTACTACTCTACAACTGTTACAACTGTTACTATTACTTCTTCACGGGTGATTACTTTATTAAATAGGACTATAAGTAAGGAAATGTTTTTATTACCAAAGATTAAACATGTACACTTTAATATGTATCTAGTATGTACTCTAAAACTACTAGAGGATACTTCACCAACTACTACTACAACTTACACTTGTAATGCACTTTCAAAGGGTCACTGACAGTTACTACTAGACCAACTACTGTTTTAAATCGGACTATAAACTTGTCACAGTTTATTTATAGGATGCTAGGAAAGTGTGTTGAAATGAATGTTTCACAGTATGGTATTAAACTCTTCTATCGTCATGGAGACTAAACCAGACCTGTGGAGAAACAACCCCGCTCACAGTCAGAATGCCTGTTTTTCAAGGTATTTCTGAGTTATAAAACCACCAGTAATTTTTTTCTCCATAATCTAATAGGCCTCAAATACTTAAATTATACTTAAACATATATACTTATACTTTTCTGAAACTGTACATGTGAAGTTCATCCGTTACGCTGCTTTATTGTGAAAATATTTGAAACCAGTATGTCCGATTGGAAAAGTTCTTGTATGAATTGACAAAATGTACGATGGCCTACTCATTTATGTTACAGCTAAATAGGCCTGATGGTTTTTCTTTTGACAACATAATAAGCAAGATATTATAAAAGTATACTGATTGTAGGGTAAATAAGCGATTTAGCTGTTTAATGTCATACTACGGAACATTCCAGGCAGAACAATGACATATCCATAGACATATGCAGGTGACAGACTCCCACCCAAAAAAGTTAGACATCATGCTTTAAAATGTGAGTGTGGTGACAGGCCTACAGAGTAATCATAATTCTTAAAAAAAAAAAATTAAAATGTGTACTATATTTTACCAGTTCAACTCTTCCAAATCCTCCGACTCCCAAAGTGTCAATGATGTTAAAGTCCGTGAGCTTCAGGCTGGAGAAGAAGGCGTTTTCTGCTTCATATCTACAAAAAAACCAAGGACAGAATTAATACTTGCTGATACATCCACTATGAAGCCATTTGTAAAACTGTTTTCCTCAATAAAATGCTCAGAGAATGGTCCCTGAAAGTATTCTGAAAGCAAAACGTGGCAATAATGGCACCACTTTCAGAGGCTATTGTGAAAACTTAAAAAAAACAAAACATGTATACCGACTGAGAATATGGTGAACTTTGTGCTACTTTTTAGGATAAGAAATAAGGATAGGCCAAGCAATTGCAGAGATATTGACAGATTTAAGCCATGTTATAATGTTGTTACCTCTTCCAAAACAGACCTGGAGTTGTGTTTTGTTTCATTCACACATGTTTGAGAAATTTTTATTATTACTCTGTCCACATCTACATCCAGACAACAAAAAGGACAGAATTAATACTTATATACATTCACTATGATACGAGAGATGTGTAAAACTGTCAAAGAAATGTTACGAGAATGGCCCTTGGAATTGTAATATTACAATTTCAAACTTGATTTTGATTCTACAGAAAAGGTTCAATACTAATACTACATATATTATATTCCACAATTATTAAACAAAAACACTCTTTTTGACAACAGAGTGGAATCTTCAACATAAAATACTGTATTTTCCTCACTATAGGGCGCTCTGGATTATAAGGCGCACTGTCACTGAATGGTCTATTTTCGAACTTTTTTCACAAATAAACCACACCGGACTTTAAACAAAACACAACAGTTGGATGGGTCAGTGGGACTTTGTTTGGCGCGTTCACTGTGACTCTGAGCTTTGTTCAGTTGTGGCGTGTAGGGAGGGTGCTGTCGGCGTGTTCGCAGTGACTCAGATGTTCAGTTGTGTCTAGAAGTGGCACATTGCACTCGCTTTTTCAGTTCGTTCCTCCATTCCGTTGCTCGTCGGCGTGGAGTGATGAGTGCGGCTGTGGGTGTTTTTCGCTGTGCAGTCGCTGTCTGCTCTGTGTGTGTTTGCGTGTGCTGCGGGTGGTGCAGCTTTGTAGTTTACTGAAGTCGTGCTGGGACACCCGATTTGATTCGTGTATAGGGCGCTCTGGATTGTGGGGGCCGCAGTCATTTTTTGATGGGGTTGAAAGTTTTTGAGTGCACCCTATAGTGCAGAAAATACGGTAATAGTAGTTTCTAGCTAGCATGACCATTCTAAATTATTAAATGGTCCATATTACATTATTTTCTGGTCTGTTATGTTGTTTCTTCATCACAAACATACCTGGAGCTGTGTTTTGTTTTTGTTTTTTTCATTCACACATGAGTAATCCGTTATTATTAGTCTGTTTACATCTCTAAAGCTCAAAATGCCCTGTTCATCCTTGTGATGTCACTGTCAAGTTAGCAGCTAGAGATGGGCAGTTGGATCATTTCAGCCCTGGAACTGCAAATCTTTTACTGAACAAAAGTTTAAAGGTAGCTTTTAACTTGAAAACTACCACTCCATGACATCACAAGGTGGACCAGAGTCAATTTTGCCCAATATAGGACCTTTAATTGTTAATACATTCATCTTGTGATGTTAAAAAACATGAGTCAAATCCACTGAACTCCAAAATGGGATGGATTACCAGATTTTCACTGCAAAAAATAGTTCATTTCTAAAAAAACGATATCGTGTAACGATATATCCAAGTCTCACAATACAAAATCGTCATGGTATGAACCTCACAGTACGATATTTATTGAGATATCTTGGGAAAGATCATGATATGGTGGGGAGGCTCACAATTAGGGATGTAACAATATCCAAATCTCTCTGTAAGATATTTTCACGATGAACATCTCACGGTACGATATTTTTTGTGATATTGTTAATATGTTAATATTGTTAATACAAAACTGTTAATATGTTACTTTTTGCTCTTAAAATGCCTTGACAAGACTTAATCCAAAGAACTAAGACTTAAAAGTGCTTAGAACTGTTATTACTTTTCATAGTCTACACTGAAATGGAGCAAAGGATCATGGTCTATGTAGTTCTGTCTGTCTTTTTTGCTGCACCATAACTCTTAATTTAAACAAAGAGACTTAAAATTCGATATATTGTGATGGTCCACGATATTATTGTGAGAACTTTGACGATACGATATCACGATGTTTCAGATATTGTTACATCCCTAAAAAGTGCACTTCCTGTATTACCAGATGACATCACAAGGTGGAACAGACCATTTTGAGCTTTGGAGATGTAGACAGACTAATAATAAAGGATTACTCAAACACGTGTTAATGAAACAAAACACAACTCTGGGTATGTTTTGAGGAGGTAACAACATTATAACACATCTTAAAACTCACAAGGGTCAGTTTTGGCGTAATAATATTGGATCTTAAAAGGACCAAACCTGCAGCACTTGACGACGTGGAAAAAGGGGAACTTCTTGGAGGTGTGGATGGAGTAGGACACGATGGGGAGCGGGTGAGGGAGGCTGCTTTGGCGGTCCCTCTGTCTCCTCACAGCTTGGATTGGGAATAACTCTCTCATTACTGCAGATTATACGGCCAATCCAAAAGAACCAAAAATGCCAACTTTCAGTCCAAAAAACTATTCAATAATATATGTGGAATATGTGTTCAAAAGCGCTTCAGTTCATTAAAGAGTCTTTTAAAGTCAGATCAAAGTTTTAAGTCAAATCCACCAAAAATAATTGCTCTTCAAATCTTTTCTTTGCGGTATGACAGCAATGCAGAACAAAACAGTATTGAGAAAATGCTCAGTTTTTAAATTCTTCAATATTTGAGATGAGTTGTCTTCAAATCTTCCAGAGAAAACATTTCAAATATAGCAATTTTCTCTTATTTCAGTTTTAAAGAACATAGAAATTAAAACCAAAAGCTGAGATTTTATAATGAAAATGTTACTTATCTTAAAATTTCGCACTAGTTTATGAGGTAATTTCTAAAGGGAAAAAAATTAAAAAAGCAAAAGTGCTAATTTAATCTAGGAATGTATGAAAATTTTGCAGGAACTTGGAAAAAAATATGAAAAGAATCTACTGTTTTAACTGCACTTTTTTGGTCTCTTCTTGATCCAGTGCAAAAAAAATAAAATTAAATAAAATTAAAATCTGGAGAAAATTAGGAAAATGTCAAACACAGCGTTTGCAACAAAGCTGTTTCAAAAGAAGAGGTGATTTTCCAGTTTACATGATGAAATTTCGAGCTATCAGGCCAATGGTCATTACGGCGATGGTTACACAAAGTAAGACCCAAATTTGCCAGATCCTCCAGCTGTGTGAGCATCAAGTTTGAAATAAAGTCCAAGATATTTTCTTTTAAAAATCAAAATTAAATTCTTTCAGGAGCGGTTTAAGAAGAGATGTAAGCTTAAGAGATATCCAAAAGATGCGACTCGGTTTTGGTTATGTCCTCTGCGTGCGTACAGACGGGGTAATGGGGTAATGCCACACTGAGCAGGGGCAGAGTAGGTGGACGGTGGGGGGTATTTTTAGGCGTTGGAAACATTGCTGATAGGTTAACCCAGTAAAAGGCGGTTCTGACACCTAAGATCTGCCCCCTCCGCTTGGATCTGAGAATCTGATCAATGTTTATCACTGTTTTAGTCACACAGGGAGGGACGATGGGTGATTTAGCTGTTTTTCAGTTGTAGTAGTAATAGTAGTTGTAGTAGTAGTAGTAAGTAAGTAAGTAAGTTTTTATTTATATAGCTCTTTTCACAGACATTTGTCACAATGACGCTTTACAGAGCAATATTCAGTTGTTCCATACCTGGTGGTGGTAAGCTTCTATTGTAGCCGCAGCTGTCCTGAGTCAGACTGACTAAATCGCAGCTGCCATGCCAATCAGCACCATCGCCCCCTCCGACCACCACCATCACACACACACCACTTTCATACTAGACAATGCGCATGATGTCACGCCCCTGCCTGTCCTGAGTCTTCTGGGTGTGGACGTGGGCGGAGTCTGCTGGGAGCACCTGCTTTCCATCTCCAATCAAGCCTGCTACAAAGGCCCAGCTCTCCTGCCAGACTCTGCTAGATTGTTTCGTCTACCTGATGGTGATCTACCAGTCGGTTCAGTTTGTGTTTCTACGTCGCTTCCTGTTACTTACCTGCATTTTTGTATTTCCTAGTCCCCGCTGTGGAAGACTCCGGCATTCCAGCTCCTGGCTCCTCGCTCCTCCACTGCCTATCCTGCCTCAATAAACCTTTGTTTCCTTTTTGCATTTTTGCCCTCGTTCTGAGTCTGTTTTTGGGGTCCACTCCAGTGGTACACAACACATGAAGTGTCTTGCCGAAGGACACAATGACATGACAATGAGTTTTTGTGACTGGCGCCCCACTGTGGCACCTGCTGTTTCCAGTGGTCTCCCATCCAAGTATTAACCAGGCCCAGACCTGTTCAGCTTCTGAGATCTGACGGGATCAGGCTTTGACAAACTGGTATGTCTTATAGTAGTGGTAGTGGTGTTAATGGTAGTAGTAGTTGTAGTAGCAGTAGTTGTTGTAGTGGAGGTAGTAGTAGTGGTAATAGTAGTAGTATGGTAGCAGTAGTAGTAGTAGTTGTTGTTGTAGTGGAGGTAGCAGTAGAGGTAATAGTGTTAATGGTAGTAGTATTAGTATTAGTAGTAGTTGTTGTAGTGGAGGTAGAAGTAATGTTAATAGTAGCAGTAGTAGAAGAGTAGTAGTAGTAGTAGTAGTAGTAGTAGTAGTAGAAATAGTAGTTGTTGTTGTAGTGGAGGTAGTAGTGTTAATAGTGTTAATGGTAGTAGTAGTAGTATTAGTAGTAGTAGTAGTTGTTGTTGTTGTAGTAGAGGTAGTAGTAGTGTTAATAGTAGTAGTAGTAGTAGTAGTATTAGTAGTAGTAGTAGTTGTTGTAGTGGAGGTAGTAGTAGCGTTAATAGTAGTAGTATGGTAGTACTAGTTGCAGTAGTAGTAGTTGTAGTGGAGGTAGTAGTAGTGTTAATAGTAGTAGTATGGTAGTACTAGTTGCAGTAGTAGTAGTTGTTGTAGTGGAG